GTCACTGTGATAAGGTAGGTACAAGTAGTGTATTATAAGCCTGTCACTGTGATAAGGTAGGTACAAGTAGTGTATTATAAGCCTGTCACTGTGATAAGGTAGTTACAATAGTGTATTATAAGCCTGTCACTGTGATAAGGTAGGTACAAGTAGTGTATTATAAGCCTGTCACTGTGATAAGGTAGGTACGAGTAGTGTATTATAAGCCTGTTACTGTGATAAGTTGTTACAAGTAGTCTCTTGTATTTCATGCAGCTTTTTCATGTGGGGATATTTACATGATCAAATAAGGACACTTTCAAAATTCACTGGTTCAGTGAACATGCAAATACAGCTTAATTATGTATCAAAGTTTGTTATGTAACTTGTAGTTTCATTTTCCTTTATCAGAGGGTTTGCTGAAGCCATGAAGTTTTCCATGTATTCTGGTTGTTTTGAAATGTTATAACTTATTTTATCTTTTAGATGATCATGGTTTGGAAATGCAGGCAGCAGGCATTCCTGTTTCATCCTTTCCCATGGAAGATGTTATGAATAGGTACATTCGTTACAACCAGATTGATCATCGTAATAAAGAACCAACAGAAGATGCATTTCTCTTTCATGTCACTGATGGCCTACTAGAATCACCCATTTCTCGTATAAATGTTTCTATTCAACTGGAAAATGATGAACCTCCTGTGATCTTTGTGGAACCTCTTCCCGTTGTTCGCAAGGGTTTTATAGTTGTCCGCAATTCTTCTTTATATGCTGGGGATATTGACACATCTCCTGAAGACCTTTTATTTACCTTAGTTAACCCACCTAAATATGGTGAGAAACATGTTAATATTATCATAAAATGTCAGTTATCATTACATATATTTGGTAAACTTTCAGTTCCTTCCATTTTCTTCTTGTGCATTGTTCAGACTGTTTATGATTGGTATAATTAGCAAAGAATAACAGAGTTTAATAGTTACCCAAAATATATATATTAATCTGAAAAAAATGAGAAATTATCCTTAATTTTATAGTTTTATACCGTTTTATGAGTCTAAGAACATGGTTTAACTACTTAGCGTATATAATGTGAACTGGACTTTTTTGATATACTTTCAGTAATAAAACTATCACAGAAAATATTGAAAATATTTATTTACTAAATTTTTAGATAAATATCTGAATTCTTAATCCTCATATACTAAAAACTCTTTTGGTATGAAGAATTAGTTAATACTTTAAAGAAAATGCATCTTAAAGCTCTTCAAGATAAAATGTACAAAAGCACTCCAAATAAACTTTGGGATGAAACTAAGATTCAAATATAATTATATAGTGGTTTTTCGACTGCCTTATTGTAACATCAGTTTATTAGCTTTTGGTATAATTGTTTCCATGATTCTGCACTCTATTTCCATGACAGGTACCTTACGCCTTCTTCAAACACCTAGTCAGCCTCCTCACAAGGGCTCAATTCTCACACTGAAAGATGCCTTTACTTATGAGGTAACTCTGGCTCACGTGCTAAACACAACAAATATATGTATAGCTTTCCTTTGTTCTTGAGATTACTGAAACTCATTTTAGCTATCTGCACTTATAATGTATATTCAAATACATGTGAATCTTCTTTGGGTAATAAGTTTATTGAGGAACATCTGAACCATCTTTGGGTAATAAGTTTTTAAAGTATGTTAGTAATCTTAAACATACAACTTTGTTGAGATATATTTGAAATTTCTTTGATGTATATTAGTGTATTTAGATGTACTTGCACCTTCTTTGGTTTATGAGATTATTTGAACTTTATTTAATGTGCATTTTAGGCATATTTCACCCTTCTGTAATATACTAGTTTATTCAGATAAGTTTGAACATTCTTTAATATATTATTTTATTGGTATTTGTTTTAATTTTCCTTGATGTACTTGTTTATTAAGATATGATTTAAAACTTTCTTGGTGTACAAGTTTCATGTTTCACCTTTTATAATAGTCATGACAATTTAAGTTTTTAACCTATGTTTGAAAGTATTCAAAAATGAAATCTTTTCATAATCTATAAGATTACTGAGAACTGATCCAATTTTTAATGTTTAACAGATTGGCTCTTAAACCTTCTGTGGTTTCTGGTGTTATTGAGACTTTTGTGATTATGAGATATTGAGGAAGGTTTTGGCTTTTTTTTTTATTATTAGAATTATTCAACAGATTTATCTTTATGGACATCTAATGTTACTGGAACATTTATACCCTTTCTGATTTTAAGGTATTGAGATATGCTTTGAATACCTTGAAAGTAGCTACAATTGAATAAATAAAGTTTTTTATTTTCATCTCCTTGCAGGTTGTCCTTGAAAAACGTTATTCAAGCTATTGTTTAAAAATTTTCTGGATAATATTGAGATTACTGATGAGCATATAAGAGATAAATATGAAATTTTATTAATTTACTGGAATGCTGGGCTGTATAATCTCACTTTTCCTAAATCTTCTACATTTTAAAATATTTTAAACTAAAACTTGTTATCTTTCATTACAGGAAGTCCTCGAAGAGTTGGTGATGTACATTCATGATGGGAATAAGAAGACAAACAGGGACAATTTCACTTTAACTTTGTCTGATGGTCAGTTCTTAGACACAAAAACATTAGAAATTCTTGTCACATCAGATGATACAGAAACACCTCGCATGCTTGTCAATCGTGGTATGAAACTGCAAGCAGGTAATAAAAAAATAGTTTATATCTACAATGAAATAACTACTAGGAGTTATATGTTATTTCTACAGTGTATTGTAAAAAAAAAACGGTGAAGTAATAACCAGTGCTTTTGGTTATTTTCTTATACTGATTACGAAAAAAGTACAATGGAAATTGTCAGTGCTCTTGTTATTTCTTTATATTCATTACGCACTGTAAAATTGCATTGAAAAATAATTACCAGAATTTTTAAATATCAGGTCTAAATTTGCTGTGAAATAATCACCAGTATTTTTATTTCAACATGGTTAGACACTATTCAATAAAACTACTACAAACAGTTACTAGTACTTTTGTTGTTTTCTTGTGTTTATAATGCACAATAGTGAAAAACTGTAATTTAGCATTACTAGTACTTTTTCTTGCTTATTTAGAAACTGTAGCAAAGTAATTGTGTTTGCTTTTGCTGTTTTCATTTTTTAAGTATTAACTACAATATAAGTTCGTAGATGTGTGGTTGTATATATATATTCAGGATGATTCAGAATTCCATAGACAGGCAAATAATTTGGAAATGTGGAGGTTATGGGAAAATAATTATTGGTAGTAAGGAATATGATGTTTTGAGGTTACCCTGTGAGACTGTAACAATATAAGTGACATCATTCAAGCTCATGTCTCTCAGAAATTTTAATTAATAATCATCATACACATAATGTCAAAGGTGTTGACAATAATAAATTAAATATTTGAAATAAAATGTAGACATACACCAAAATGTCTGTTTCTTCTTTTCAAAATTATACAAGCTCTTTGAACCATTTTATTTTTTATTTCTTAAATCACCAAACTTCATGATAGTTTGTATTGTGAGGAGGTATTAATTGAAGGTACATCTTAGTTTCATTTTTGAAACTACCAGGTTGTTTGTCTTATTTAGTGTATAAAGTGATTAATCAAAGACCTATCATATTTTTATTTTTAAGATCACTAGGCTGTTTAAGCATTCTTTCCAGTGTATAATAACAAAATAGTGATAATGCCTTTCTTCTAATTTCTAAGGTCATTCAAACTTTTAATTGTCATCTCTAATTTGTTTTAAGGGATATACAATATCTTTGTATTGCTGAAATTCTTTGAAGTTCTTTCAGTATGACAAGAAATTATTTTAATGTTTTTTACAACGTCTGTGGGATAATTAAATTATTATGTCTTCACATGTACTTAAATCTTGTCTAAAATTTGCACAAGCTAAAAATAACATTAGACACTACTAACATTAATACCATTTACTTTAATTTAGGCTCTACAGCAGTGATTTCTCCACGTGAATTGTTGGCTTCAGATTTAGACTCAGAAGATAAAAATTTGCGTTATACCTTAACCCAGGATCCACCAACTGGCAAACTTATTTTACGACATAAAAACAACCAGATTCCTTTGTCATCAAGGGGACCAGTTGCTAGTTTTAATCAACAGGATATAGAGTTAGGAAATGTTCATTATGTTCATAAATATGGAGAACCAACTGGTACTGTCCCATTTCGTTTCCAAGTGTCTGACCCTATTGGTAACTTGTTGATGGATCAGACCTTTGTGATTATGGTCATAGGTTAGTATTTTGGTATTAATTTAACTGTTTTTGGGATATATCTTTTCTTTATGATCTTAGGTTGTTATTAGTATGAGATCAGGTTTTATGTTAATAATATGGATGATAGTTTGGTTGGCCAACTGAAGTCATTATTAGTATAAGGTTAATTGCTTTGTTATATGGCTAATGTTTTAGTTCACCATATCGTTTTCTTTATGTTTTGAGAATAAGATTGATAAAAACGTAATTTTAACTAGACATTTTTCTTTATATATAAAATAGTATAAGCTCATTATTTTTCATCTTACAGATAATAATATTGGGATTGTTATTAGTAGCAAATCAAAGTTGTTTTTTTTTATCTTATAGATAATATGTAAGATCACTAAATCTTTCCTTTTATATTCCAGGAATGGGTTGGTAAAAAATCAAGTTTTTTATCATATAAATAATTTATTAGGTCACTAATTCTTTTGTTTTATATTCCTGAAATGTGGTTAGTAAAAAGTCAAGTTTTTTATCACACAGATAATTTTTCTGTTTTCTTTTGTTATTAATTTAATAAATGGATATTTTTATAATACAAGTAATATTTAGTTTTACCAAACCTTTTTTTATACTCTTTGGTTAAACTTAGTAAAATATCTAAGTTTTTTATTGTACTTATAACAATTAGGTTGGTCAAACTCTTAAGCTCAGTAAAGGTCACTGTTATTATTATAAAGATAATACTTATGTTAATCAAACCTTTATTTATACTCTTAGAATATGCTTAATAGAAGGTTAAAGGTTTTATCATGCATATATTTATATTTTATATTTTTAGGTTAAGCTTAATAAATGGTTCAAATATCTGATGGTATTGATTTAGACTGATCATACTCTTAGATTAAGTTTACTAAAAGGACCAGGTTTTTGATCATGCAGTTAACATTTATGCAGGCCATAATATGTTTTGTTTATGTATTTTTAGGCTAAGCTTGTGTAAAATGTCAAGGTTGTTTATTATACAGATGATAGTTAAATTGACCAAACTTCTATATAGTCTTAACATAACATAAAAGGATATCAAGGGACCTTTCAGTCCACTAAATTAAACTAAATCCCTAAATTCTCAATGGCAGCTCTTATCATGAAATTTTTGATCAAGTTTCCCTTAAACTCCCATAAATTAACTGCAACCTGTATCAGAGGTCATTTGTGCTGTTAGAATAATTGAAGCTGTCTTATCTAAAGATGATTTCTTCTCTGCCAAGGTTTCAATTTGTGTCCCCTAGTCTTATTATTCTCACCATTAAATATGAAAATGGTGATGCATCAACATTATCAATTAATTTCCTTAACAATCTTCAACACCTCAACCAAGTAAAATTAAGGTTTTTGGTCAGGTAGATGATATGTAGGTTTTTCCAAACCTTTTTTATACTCTGTCATTAATGTATTATTTATCTTCTTTTCAGAGGAAAAACTTGTTTCTGATTACAAATCGTACAAATATTTGTATTTTACCATTTTCTTTTATAAAGACAGAGTTCTCCCAATATCACATGTATTTTACTTTTTACTGTAGGAAAGATATCTCAATTTGTTAGATTGACCAAACTCTTTTTTTTTTTATATAATCTTTGATTAAAATTAGTGAAAGGTTAAGATTTTTGATCATACAGATAAAACTTTGGTTGAACAACTTCTTTTTAAAACTTTTAGGTTAATCTTAATATCAGGTCAAGGTGTTTTCTGTCATACTTAGGTTGACCAAACCTTTCACCTTCATTAAAAATACCACTTGTGTAATTTATATATGTTACTTATTAGAGGACAAAGTTTCCTCTTAGTCACAGTAGCACTTGAATAACTTGTGTTTATTACTTCAATTTAGATGATTAAATTCCATCTTTATTGAAATAAGATTTGTATAAATTGTTCATGTTATTTGTTATAATATAACAGAGCCCCACCTTGGTCACAATAACATTTATTATTCTTTTATTAGAAGACAAAGTTCCACCCGTGGTCACCACGAACACTGGAATTACTCTTCCAGAAGGAACAGCCAAACAGATCACAACTAATGAACTTGCAGCAATTGATTCTGATAGTGAGCCAGCTCTCCTACACTATGATGTTATAGTACCACCAACAGAAGGAGTTCTTGAAATGCTTGGGCAGCCCATGATTTCTGTTACTAGCTTCTTGCAGGCAGATCTGGCTTCTGGTAGACTGATTTATGTTCACAATATTGATTCTGAGAATGGCATAGATTCCTTCACATTTACTGTGTCTGATGGTGTAAACAATGTTAGTGACTCCTTTTTTATATTTGTCACTGTTATTACTTGTCAGTTGTTGTAAATTATTAGTTTTAATCTCAACTTTTTATTCACACTCCTTAGTCTTAATTCTCAACCTTGTTATCTACTTTTCCATCTTTATATTCTCAAATTGGCCTTTTTATTTATTTATTTCCATAACTTTTATTATCTCATAATTGTGAATTTTTAACCTCTCTATTCATTAGTTTTCTTTACTGTGTCAGTAATGATAATTATCATGCTTTGTATTTACATATGAACTTTCTGACATTTAAATTTACACCCTTACTGTCTTTCTCATCACTTTCTCTGATGTTTTGAAGAATGATGTTATTAAGCCCTTGTAATTTCTTTCTTATGACCTAAAAGAATAAGTCAATGAGTGTTAATATTTTACATTCAGTCTATGAATTTTTTAAATAATGTGTTTAAATTTCACTTTCTTTCTCCAGTATCCTAAAATGCTGTTCTATAAAACTTTGTATTCACTCTCAAATATATTGAAGTGTTAGTCTGTTAAATTCTGCTTTTACTTTTTCTGATGTCTTCAAATGTTGTTTTTTGAAAATTTTGCATTCTTTATGAAATTTCTTGAAGTAGTTATAAAATTTTAAAGTTACCTTGATGCTATGAAATGTTATATCAAATTTTATGTTCACTCTCTAATGTCTTGCTAAACTTTCTATTCTTTCTGCCTTGTCTTGAAGTTTGGTATTAAATTTCACAGTCAGTTCTGATGTCTTGAAATGTTATAAGTTAAACCATCATTCTTTCTTCTATTCCTTGAATTATTTTATATTAAACTTTGCTCTCTCTATCTCTTAAATGATTTAAAGTATTGATTATTTGATACATTATAAACTTGGTTCTTATTCATAGAATATATATCAGAGTTCAAGTTCTGCATTACACTTTTGTTTCTCAGAATTTTATAAAATGAAATTTATTTATTTTTTTTCCATTTTTCTTCAAGGCAACACATACATTTCATATTACCATCACCCCCATTGATGATACTCTTCCTCTAGTGACAGCAAGTGGGCTGAGGGTTCAGGAAGGGGTTAGGAAACTCATCACAGAGTTTGAACTGAAAGCTGCTGACTTAGATTCAAAGGTATGGTATGCTTTAAATGTTATTAAACTACTTACTAAATCCAATTTATCTTAAGGAATAAAAGTATGTTCAGATTAATTAATATTTTACAGTTAACTTGGAGTTGAGTTGATAACATGTACTGTATCTGATGCTTGGATTACATATTTTATTAAAATGTAAGAATATATATAAAGATGCTTGGATTACAATTTTTATAAAAATGTAAGAATATATAAAGATGCTTGGATTACAATTTTTATAAAAATGTAAGAATATGTAATGATGCTTGGATTACATTTTTTTATAAAAATATAAGAATATGTAATGATGCTTGGATTACATTTTTTATAAAAATATAAGAATTTACAATGTTGTTTGGATTACAATTTTTATTAAAATGTTGGAATCACAACTTTATGGATCCTTTATGTTTAACTTATAGTGGAATGCATGGAATGTGATTGTTTTTACTGAAAATTGTGAAATACTTTTTTTATCTTACTTGTAGTAAGTGGCTTCTTTTATAGTAGAAGTTTTTTAAGTGTTATTTTTTACTTACAAGCATGCTTTGTAAATTGTTTTACCTTTTAATAGACTTTCTTTTAAAATTTTTGTCTAAAATTAAGATACTGATTTACAGGACACTGACATCATGTTCAGCATTGTTAAACTTCCAAAACATGGCACCATAGAGTTGCAAGGCTTAGCAGGAATATATAGTACCACCACAGCCTTCTCGATGGATGACATCTATGAAAATCGTGTCAGCTACCAGCATGATGGTTCAAACAGTCTTAAAGATGAATTTTATTTTACAGTGTCTGATGGCACTAATCCTCTTTATACAATTCAGAAGAATGGTGATAAGGTCACTACTGGAGACCCATCAGTAAGTAACTTATGTAGTTAGAAATGTGTACATAAACAAGTGCCTATAAGGTGACTAGTTGAAACTAATTCATAAATAACTTGGTTTGTTAAGGTTTGGATTACATTTATAAAAATATAAGAATATATAATGATGCTTGGATTACACTTATAAAAAGATGTAAGAATATATATATATATATATATATATATAATGCTACTTGGATTATATCATGATAGAAAAGACTGTTTAGTTTTGATGTTATTGATTGATTTGTTTTTGTAAATGAATATTTTATTATTGTTTATTTTTTGTTACAATAAGAATTAAAAGCAGACGAATGTAGGAGGTTTTATTAACAATTTATTGGTGTTGAAACTATTGAACGTCGCGTGCAATACATTGATGTTGAGAATATAGAAGGTGGACAGATGATTAGGTGAAAAAGATATAAATAGTGTGAGACAAACAGAAAGCAAGAGACAGATAATAGCAAAAAAGTGTAAAGTTACAGACCAAGGAAAAGCTCGGCATGAAGTTAACTACCATAGAAGTGATAGTCCTAACAATTGACATAGACCTCATGTTTAATATGTTAGAGTAAGACTAACAGTGGAAACAGAGATAAGAAAAATAATTTATTCCATCAAAGCATGGTTCTAAAGTAATTGAATCAGCCTGAGTGCACTTTGACAAAAGGAACAGAGGATATTTAGAAAGTATACCAGATGATTGGGGTAACTCGTGCCACAATTGTAAGTGAATCTCACTCAGAATACTAGTGCGATAGTAGTAGAGAAGATAAGTCGGCTTGAAGTTAACTACCATAGAAGTGATAGGCCTAACAATTGACATATACCTCATGTTTAATATGTTAGAGTAAGACTAACAGTAGAAACAGAGATAAGAAAAATAATTTATTCCATCAAAGCATGGTTCTAAAGTAATTGAATCAGCGTGAGTGCACTTTGACAAAAGGAACAGAGGATATTTAGAAAGTATACCAGACGATTGTGGTAACTCGTGCCACAATTGTAAGTGAATCTCACTCAGAATACTAGTGCGATAGTAGTAGAGAAGATAGGTCGGCTTGTCAACTGAAATTCTAAAGTAATTGAATAGGCCTAAATGGACTTTTGACAAGGAGAGAACCACATATATAGTGTTTATGATATGCCTGTAATATCTATAGTGTGTGAAGACTTTGTTGTACATACGTTTACCTTGTTCTGAATATATATATATTATTTGAAAACAAGTGAAGTTCATGCTGTTTATTCATCGTTGAATTTATTGCAAACAAGTCACAGACACCTACTGTACAAGAATCCTAAGCCGAACAACAATATAGTATTTATTTATATTATTGAAATATATAACTAAAAGCTTTTTTATTTTGACAGTTGGCAAAAAGAAGAATATATATTTTTATATTCTGACAGATTACAATTATATAAATAGAAGAATATATAGTTATACTTGGAGCACACTTATAAAAATGTAGGAATATGTAATGATGCTATAGAAAGAACACTGCTGGAGACTCAACAGTAAGTAACATTAATTTTTTTTGTTGAAGAAAATTTTAGTGCGAAGCCCTATAGTTTAGAAAAAAGTTCCTTTAAATTTTTCATCTTGTTGAGAGAAGGTTTTAAAATCATTGATGAGAGCAGTTCTCTGTATCTTTAACTCCTACTCACTACAAGCTGAAGAGACAATAAAAAATTATTAGATGAAATTAAACATACTTACAAAGGCATTTTGACATTGTTATTCAAGTGTCAATGTAAATGACATTCTGTAGCATACATAACAAGACTGATACCTGTAACTGTAGAAGACCAATGAGCAATAGATTTTTTTATTCTATCATTAATCTTGATCTGAAGTTTCTGCAAAAATTGACATGAACTGAAACTTGCAGGAAACAAGAACCAACTAGGTTTTTGAGGCTTATTGAATATGAATTGACAGTTCACCAGTATAAGACAAAGAAATGGCTGCACGTTTATCTTCCATAGTTTATATGTTGACCTGTTCCTTCATGTTCATAAGTTCTGAAACAGTCTTCTTGATTACTAAATCTTCAAGCTAAACAGTATATTCATTTTCTGATAAAGTCCTCTTCATACTACTGAGTTAAAAGCAGGACTGACAATCTTATAAGTTCTAGTAATTAAGAAAGTTATCAAATTTTGTTTAAAGAAGTTAGGAAGAAAACTCTAAAAATATGATTATAAACCAATATTAAAATGTTAGCAATCAGCAGTAAAACCCTTATCAGGTCTTCTAATTAGCATATTCAGGAAAATGTGTTTGATTTTCAAATTCTTGTATGATGTTTTAAATTCAAATACTGAGGAAAGGAGTGAGTCTGAACATGATTTCAGAAAACCAAAAATATGTAATCATAAAAGCATGTGTAAAACAAAGTTTTTGAAGTCAACCAAACAAAAACTGAACCATATTTTTTTAATGATGATACATGGGTACATTTGACAAAGAGAGTACCAGAGAACTGTTTTTATCTGGGCTATCAATTTAGTTGAATATTTATGTAATAACTTGAAAATGGAATTCTGTTGTGTAAGATTTTGAAGACTGTTCTTGGGGTGGGGTGGGGAGAGACTATAAGCAGTTAGAGCATTTTGAAAGACTAAATTTATAGTATATTGTTTTATTTAGTGGTTAATGTACAATGAGAGATCATCAAAACTACCTAAGAAAACTTCATAATCAAGCTTGAAACTTTTGATAAAATTTGAGAACTCAGAATTGTTGTTAAGTAAGTTTTTGAGGAAGCTTAAGAAACTTGTAGTATGCAAATACTGTGTACTTTACTCTCTTATAGTGTATATTTCAACTCTTCAAAATGTAAAATATTTTCAAAATTCTATATGTGAAGTTAGGTAAATCAAAATGAGATCCTATTGAAAATTCAACCATAGGTGTCATTTTCTGTAGTCTCTTCAGTCAAGAAGCTTGTGTACTGTTCTATGGGATAGTTGTATTGTGCCTTACTTTATCTTGGGACAAAGATATATCTGCATTCTGTTGCCTGTTTTCTGATTGTTCAGCTACAGAAAGGAAGTGCTTTGTGAATGCAGTTTTTAGCAGAAAGATTATTTTCAGTATTTTAGGTAGTGTGGTCTCTTGCCTGAGATATGATGACCAGATGATGAAGTCCTGTCTTAGTTTTTTTTCATTCCTGTCTCATCCTTACTTCTGATTATGTGCAATTTATTCACTTAATTTAATTCAATTATTCATCATTAAAATTTTATCTTGATTTCCTTAATTTAAGTAGAATTTGTTTATTCAGCTCTTTATTTTATTTCTTTTATATTGTGACAACTCAATAATCCTTGATGATCTGTCATTCTTCAGTTTTTTGTTTAATCATTAACCCTATGCATTCTGCTTGTTGGGTTGTTCAAGATGTGCATGTCACATCCTTTTATAAAATTATATTCAAAATTTAATTAAAGAACTTCATTATCAATGTATGTCAATAAAGTTGACATCAAAAACTTAGTTTATAATTCAAATCTTTATATTATATAAATTTTAATTTATTAATTTCACAAAACATAGTTAAATAAATTCTCACTCTTCACTTCTCCATGTCTTGTGACACATTTGCACTCACAGTTCTCCTTTACAGGCTTTCTTTCTTCCCTGTTATGGGTTTTAGAGTGTACAGTCAATTAGAAACACAAAAAGTAGATATTGGACCTTCTACTTTCTCATTTTGCTGAGATATCAATACATTTTAGAAACCCACCAGTGAAGCCCCTCCAATCTTATTATAGTTTCAGAATAGTTATATAAACCATGTGTGCTTATTTTAATAGCCATGTTTATGACTAATAGCAATAGCATTTGTAACTCTACAAAAATGTTGTTATGTTTATTTCTTTTTGGTAGGAATACAAGACAGTTGGCCTCAGATTCTTGGAGAAATAACTGTATGAACAAGTACAGCTTGTTTTCTCAAAAGAAATCTGTGTGTTAACCATTGTTTCAACCACATCATTAGCTTGTGGCACAGTCTGAGGTTGGGTTCATAGATTACTATGAAGTACCTCTTGCATATTAGAAGTGCATCCATACATATTCCAAGAGGTGGTACAAAGATCAGTACAAGTTTATATGAGTTGTGAGTTTATCTCCGTTGAAAGTGTTTCTTACACTTTCATTCTTTTTTGTGATTCTTTCTTCATCTTGTGTACACATTTAGAAACCTTCTCACTGCTCCTGCAGCAGTTAAAGTTACAATGAAATTAGAAACTGACTAGTGGATAAAGAAATACTGTTTGTGAATAACATACCATTTCATTTGTTATTTCAATTTTCTTTCCATCTATGTTCATTTGATTCTCTGCATATCATTTGTGGGACTTGAGTTTTGTAGTTACGTGGAACATCCTCTCAGTCATCAGTGTCCTTTAATACCAGATACCCATCAAATAAGGACATTTAATATTGTAGCTAATTGATAAGAAAGCAGTTTAGGGCTAATATCTGTGTAAATAGCTTTTATTAAAAAAAACAGTGATGGTACATACAGTGAAATAAATCAGTCTTGAACAAAATCTTAACACATACTTTTGTAACTATATCCCTTGCAAGTGTTAGATTTTTTTTTATAAATGATTAACTTATCAGTAATATAATCACTGTTATATTTGGATTAGTATGTTTCCCAAATTTAATTAGAGCCTAATAGGGGCTGATTTCTTTGTTACGGCTATTAACTCAGCTGTAGCGAAGTTTTAAACTAGGACTAGACAGTGGTGAGGGTCAGGATAAACTAATTGCAAAAAGAATAAGAGGCAGA